GTACCAGCCTTTCGAGGGACAAGCTTTCAACTTTTAATTAACATAAACATTATGAACACCCCCTCTTTAACCGTTAAAAATTTCTGATTTATCACTGACCACAAACAGTTCAATGTGTTCCCCGGTGTATTCCTCTGCCTGACAAGTAAAGACAGCGTTGTTGTTTTCATTTTATTTATTTTATTCTGTTTTAGCGGGGGGGTTTTTTATTCTAGTGGTCTTTTATTCTTTGCATCTTTTTCTTGGACTCTAATCCACAGAAATAAAACCACCAAGTGCATAAGAATGTAAGTACAGGGAGGCCTGGGTGGCTCAGTCGGTGAAGCATCTGCCTTCAGCTCAGGTCATGATCCCAGGATCCCGGGATCAAGTCCAGCATCAGGCCCCCTGCTCTGCGGGGAGTCTGCTTCTCCCTCTGCCTGCCACTCCCCCTGCTTGTGCTCTCTCTCTCTCTCTCTCTGACAAATAAATAAATAAAATCTTTTTTTTTTTGATGTAGTGATCCATGATTCATTGTTTTTGTATAACACCCAGTGCTCCATGCAGTACGTGCCCTCCTTAATACCCATCACCGGATAAATAAAATCTTTAAAAAAAAAAAAAAAGAATGTAAGTATTAACTTGCCCTTCGTAGCATTCATCATATGAACATGGAGTACCACACAACTGTTTAAAAGAATACGTCAGATGAATCGCTACTGAACTCGAGGTGTCCATGAGCAACATCTCTTAAGTGAGAAAAGCAAGTGGCAGGAAAATGTATACAGTACAGCAAAGATTTTTTTAAACAACCAAAACCAACCACTCCTAGAAGTGTATTCATGAGTGAAGAGGATTCTCTGAATGCACAGAAACTTGAGCAGACCCTTTGGGCTTACCGTGGGTGTACCTGCTAGGATTGGGGTAGCAGAAGTGGTAGGAAGGAAGGCAGCTAAAGGGTAAGAATCTGCCAGCTTTTTTTTCTCTCTGAATGGACACAGCTCCCTGAGAGCAAACCATCTTTGACTCTTCTCTGAGCCTTGAGCGTCCCCCTCTCCGGCACCTTTCTGAGGTCCCACAAAGGCCCTTCCTTCCCTGCCACACACTCCCCATCTCCCACCCCAGCCCAATACTCCCTTGGTCTGCAGAATAGGTGGATGAGGAGGAGGGGGTAAATTTGCCTAAAGGGCCCAAGGCACTACCTGGAAGAAAAGAGACGGAGATTCTAATTCTTGTTTACATTGCTCAACATTAATCAAGTCCTCTGTGAGGAAAGTGGCCGCTCAAATTACCAGGCTCAATGCCAAGGCCTGACGGTTTAAGAGGCTAAAGCTGGACATGGCCCTGGCTCAGCCCGCCTTGCACCAGAGTCACTCTTGGGGACTGTGCCCGAGCCTGTGTGAACTAAGAGTTTGGAAAGCCCAAGTGTCTGTCTCTATTGGTGGCCTATGCGGGGATCCCCGCAGCCCTGGAAGCCCACCCGTTAGACCTTGCAGGACAGAGTTCCTGCAGCTACACCCCCAAACAAGGACAGAAGCTGCGACACTCAGACAGAAGGGCTGGACTTCTTGCAAGGACGGGCGAGCGAGTCCTCAAGTGACTGACTGCAAAAACAGATGATATCATTTCTCCCCTGCAATCAGGTCCTGTATTTGCGCAGCCTAACGTTACACAGTTTATAATGCCATGTTTGCATATCCGATTTGTCCTCGGGGAACAAAGAGAAATGTCTGCAGCCCCGTGCTGAATAGGGGTCCCACACACTCCTGTGGCAGGCGCAGTGGTTTTACCCTCTCAACTGACTGCAGTTTGAACCATGCTGGCACACGAGAAAGGAAGGGGATGAAATTATTCTTAGGTTCAGAAAAACACTTTCACAAGCCTTTCTGGCTATAAAATGTCAGGGCCACCCCCGTCACCCCCAGGCCCCAGGGATAACCTAACGAGGGAAGCTTTGATCAAGAAGTTCAGCCGCCCTGCTCGGAGAGGTCATGGGACTGTGGGAGCTGGCTGGCTGCTGGCACAGAGGTCAGGGTCTGGGAGTCTGGAAGAGGGGGTGAGCTCAGCCTCGGGGTGCTCATGGGGCAGACGAGGACTTCCCTACTGAAGACGGCCAGGCAAAATCCAGCCCTTGGCCCTTCCTGCAGCACACAGAACAAAATGGTCATCGTTAAGGAAAAAAAAAATTTAAGAGGTTTAAGTCCCCCTATTGAAAATAAGAGGGCGCCTGGGTGGCTCAGTTGGTTAAGCGACTGCCTTCGGCTCAGGTCATGATCCTGGAGTCCCGGGATCGAGTCCCACATTGGGCTTCCTGCTCAGCGGGGAGTCTGCTTCTCCCTTTGACCCTCTCCCCTCTCGTGCTCTCTATCTCATTCTCTCTCTCAAATAAATAAATAAAATCTTTAAAAAAAAAAAAGAAAATAAGAGACTGCTCCTCTGTGCCCTTGTCTGAGGGCATTTACATTAGAAAACATGTCATTTTACCTTCTTTCTCTGTCCCTTTGAAATGTGTGTAAATCTTTTTAGAAGCTAAACAAGCCTCTAGTCAGCTTTATGATCCAGGAATGTCTTTCCCAAGGGCCTGGGATCCACCTCTTTGAAATGTCAACGTCAAAGGAGATAGCACCCCTCTCTCCTGGCTTCTGTGGGAGGCTAGAAGCCTCACCTGGGTGGGCTCCGTGCTCCAAGTTGCAAAACCGCCTCCCGTCGTAAAGATACAAGAACTTTGTGTTTCTTATGATTACGCCTAGTAATAACACAGACGGTCATCAATTACGAGGTAAAGTTAGGATGAACGGTGTGTGGCAAAATGTGCCATCAAGCCTCTTACTTGAGGGCTGGTTACTGTTTTACCTTGAGAGTGTGTGTGTAATGGACTGCACCTGTTTGGCTATATGGATGGGGAAGATTTCGTTCCGTCCTTGCGGTCTCTTAGCGGGTTGCCTGGGAGGCACATCACATTCTGGTTTAATGCTTCTTCAAAAAGAAAACTGTTTCTTTCTCTGCTACCTTTTGTGGAGAGGTTTTTCAGGGCTGGGAATTTTTGTTTTTAATTATATTCCCCCAACATAACACAAGTGCTTAACAAGGAAAAAGAAAAGAAGTGGGAGGAAGGTTCTAGAGGAGTAAGACCCCCTAGCGGGAGTCTGGGGTCTTTGGAAGGACCTGGAGAAACTGTGTGTGGTGGGGGAAGGCAGAGGAATTTCTAGGAGGGAGGCAGACATTCAAGTGGAAATTGTTTACCATCTGTAAATAATAGACTAACAGCAGATAAACCATACTGGCATCATCTAAGTATTTTAAACATATTAACTCACTTAGCATATGCACTAACTGGGATTATTCTCGATTATTCATTCCCCCCCTGCCATGTGACCCTGCAGTGCACTACACAGGACAGAAAATGTGTCACAAAACAGCAGGGAAGCAGGTTGAAGGATGGACTGATTTGGGGAGTAGGTCTTAAACAAACTCTCTCATAGGCAAAAGTGACCTTTTGGGGTCTCTGTGGGAAAGGTCAGGTCCAGCTACTACATAGGATGGGAATGTGAGCCATTTCATTGGGTGACCCCCAAAACTGGAGGAACTGGGAGTCGACCAATGACAGAGACACCCAGTCCTGAGCACAGAGGATGTGGGGAGGAGTGGGCCTAGAAATAAGAGAGGGAATGGCACCCTAGTAAGGACCAGATACTTCTGTGAGGTTGGAAGGCTGTCCCGTGGGTCTAGAAGCCCTCTTATCCCCAGTAACCAACACGCCAAATCATTTTGAGGGTCAGGCTCAAGAAAGCAGATTTCCCTTGCCCTGCCCTGGCCCAGGCCACCAGACATACCCTGGGAACCAAATGTTTACAGTGACCTGGAGCAGGGTCTAGACAGGGACCTGCAGGAGGCTTCCTCAGATTCCTGGGGGGGTGGGTGACAAAACCGGAGTCCTGAATCATCCTCCTAGTGCTTACAAAGTCCCTAACCAGCACTGGGCCCTAGTTTCCTGCCCTTAGAGCCACGCAGGAAATAGCTGGGGAGAGATAAGGACAACAGGGCTGATGAAAGAAGTGGAACTTAAGGCCTAATACAAGCTGCTTACATACAATTTTTTAGGAGAAAACTATTCTGATGGGGAAGAACGCTTCAGGGTCAGTCAGATGAGGACAAATACAAATTAATCTGGAACGGACTGCAGGGTAAGGGGCTGCATTCACCTGGCAAGGACAAAGGTCATGGGAAGCACCCTTGTGTGCTGGGTTCCTACCTGATTCCATACAGCATCCTAACACCTGAGTCCCTAAAATTTTCTGCACCCACTGAACGTCAGACAAAAGGAGCTTTCGCTGCCCTGCCTGTTAGGCCTCTCTGTTTCTGGTGTATCTAGGGTCCCAAAGCCAGGATGTGTGAAATTGGGCTGTGGACAGAGTGGAGCAGGCCTTTGAGCTGCTACTTTTCCAGGTTCTACGGAACCCCTGGTCATTTCTTGCAGGACTGGGCTCCAGTGCGGTAGAAATCAGGAACCAGAAGCCTACGGGGCGCGGGGCGGGGAATGCAGGTGGGTCTATGGGAGCCCAGCACTGCCTCCCAGGCCAGCCTTGCCAGGTGCGGGCCCAGAGAAGGGGCGACTTCCTCCTCCTTTGGAAGACCCACTCACCCTCTCTTCCTCCTGCTTTCCCAAAGGCCTGGATCCTCACCCTTGCTCCCTCCAACCCCGACGCACCGGGGCCCACGACCGCCGCCCCCCAAAGCCCAGGCGGGGGGCGTCCAGAGAAGCCCGGGTGCCTCCATCCTCTCGGCCCCGCCCAGGCACGGACCCCTTTATCTTCCCGCAGCTACGCCCCACCCGGGGCAAGGCCCTGCCCCACAGCCTGCCCCACCACCGCAGGTTCGGGCTGGTCTGGGGCGGGGACTGGGGAGCGCCCGAAAGTCTTGAAGAGGGCGGGGACGCAGACCATCTTTAAAGGCCCGCAACTACCCGAAGGCGCCTCGACAGCTGCCGGCGGCCCCGGGCGATCCCCACCGGCACGCAGGACCCAGTTCCCGCGCCCGAGCTGCCGGGGAGCCATGGGCCGCTACCGCATCCGCGTGGCCACCGGGGCCTGGCTCTTCTCGGGGTCGCACAACCGCGTGCAGCTGTGGCTGGTCGGGGCTTGCGGGGAGGCGGAGCTGCAGCTGCAGCTGCGGCCGGCGCGGGGCCAGGTCAGAGGCCCGGATTGGGGACCCCCGACCTCGGTCCGGCCTGGGCTCGCGGCGGGGTCGCGGGCGGCCGGGGTACGAGGGACACAGCGCGACCGCGCCGCCGGAGATTTGCGGGGGCGGGGAGAAGATCCGGAGCCAGGGCCCGGGCTGGCCCCCAGCCCCTCCTCCCTTCCGACCTGGTCCCCGCAGCCTCCACCGCTTCCCTAAGTGACCCCGGGGCCAGCGTCAGTGCGGGGTCAGCGGTCCGGCCAGGGGCTGCTCAGAGGCTGCGGGCGCAGGGACAGCTCAGGGACGGACCGAGGTCGGTGACGTCGTGCCCCGCGCTCCCTCGTCCTCCCCAGGCCCCGCGGCTCAGGTGTCCGGAGCAGGGAACAGGTGGCTTCTGGAGGCCTTGGGCAGCGGAGGCTCCGCAAAAGGCGCCCCCGACTCGAACTAAAACGGCCTCTCCCGGGTCCCTGCTGCTAAGTGTCGCGGGTTGTGGTCCCCACAGGAGGAGGAGTTTGATCGCGACGTTCCCAAGGACTTGGGGCCCCTGCAGTTCGTGAAGCTGCGCAAACACCACTCCCTGGTGGACGACGCGTGGTTCTGCGACCTCATCACGGTGCGGGGCCCGGGTGCCTGCGAGGAGGCCACCTTCCCCTGCTACCGTTGGGTACAGGGCCAGGGCGTGCTGAGCCTGCCCGAGGGCACCGGTGAGGGCTGGGGAGGTGGCGGGCGGGGACGCGGGGGGGGGGGCGACCGGGCAACCGCGTGTGGAGTGGGGGGGCCCGGGCTGGGGAAGGTGGGTGTTGGGCAGATGAGGACAAGACAGGGATCAGGGCAACGTTCTACAGTCCCGAAGGTACACGCAGGATAAAGGGCTCCAGAGAGCCTGGAAGGGAAGCACGGGGTCTGCAGCCGCCCTCTTTCAAGGGGGTCACAGCAATGATGGAAAATGGGAGATCAAAGAGACTGGACAGGAGATCTGTGTGTGGCCGCACAAGTGAGGGCAGGGACTCTAAGGGCAGCACGTGCAGCAGGAGATGGGGACCCCTGAGCAGGTGGCAGCAGAGGAGGATAAACGGTATGAGCCATGAGCCCCAGAGCCAGTCTGGTTGGGAAAGCATGAAAGATGACTGTGAGAGCCAGGGAGCTCCCCGACAGCGGGTGTGGACGGAGGAGGGCAGACAGCACAGAATCTGTTACCATGGGAAACAGATGAATCCGGGGACAAACGAGGGCAAGGGCAGTAAGGATGGAAACGTGGAAGATAGGACTTTGACAGAGGCAAGTATGGGCACAGAGAAGAGCAGGGACACGTCAAGGGTGGACTATGATGGGAAGTCTAAGGAAGGTGAGCTCAGGGAAGGACGGCAAACACCGCTGTTCCTCAGCAGCTTTTGAGAACAGTGGAAGGTGTACCAGGTGAGGTTCAAAACGTGAAATTAAGCGAAGCGGTATGTGGTACAAATGGGTGTGGTCACATGGGTGATTAAGATTTTATCAGCTTCATGAAGGTGATTAATCCAAGCGTAGCTATTGATGGAATCGGATCAGGTAGGGAAAGACAATTAGGGTGACAAACGGGGTTTTTGTCTCGAGGCAAGGGATGAGGGCTGAGATGAGTGACACCAGGAATGCCAAGTTGGCAAAGGTGGGACGCATGTGTCTGGGCGATCGAGAGAGCAACCGAGCAGGATGGAGCACTCAGGCTCTGAGCGCGAGAAGAGGACATGCGGGGGGAGCACAGGACCACACAAAACCGTGCGGTCAATCATCTTAATGTCCCCCCAAGCACGCCTGGCAGGAGACAATGCCCTGGACATGTTCCAGAAGCATCGAGAGACAGAACTGAAGGAAAGACAAAAGCTGTACTGGTGAGCACTGGCCCGCAAGCCCCCCAACAGTCCCCCCCTTCCCTGGCCCCACCCCCCTCGCTGACCTACACACCCTCCCTGAAGCCTGGTCCCCATCTCCTAGCTGGGACACCTGGAAGGAGGGGTTACCCCTGACCATAGCTGCCGGGTGTCAGGACGACCTGCCTCCCAACATGAGATTCCACGAAGACAAGAGGCTGGACTTCGAGTGGGCCCTGAAGGCGGGGTGAGGAAAAGCCTGGGGCTCAGAGTGGATGAGGGCCGGGAGGTCCAAGAACAGTGGCGATGAGTGAGGCGCTGAGGGGTCGGCGACGGGGTCACGTCTCCACGCTTGTCCTAGGGCGCTAGAGATGGTCCTCAAACGTGTTTACACCCTCCTGAGCTCCTGGGACCGCCTGGAGGATTTTGATCAGATCTTCTGGGGCCAGAAGAGCGCCCTGGCTGGTCAGTGGTTCCCCCAGGTCCCTATATATTCCTGAGGGCCCCTCTTGACACCCCGACCTTCACACCCCAGAGTCCCTCACGACTCCTTCCCAGCTGAGGCCTTAGGAGGCCTGATCATCTCACAGCGGCCTCCAGAATGAAAAGCCAGGGTCTGGAGACAGGGCGCTTGTGTGCCAGAACCGCTGGGGGAGGGCCTGGAGGAGAGGGACCTCCGGGTGGTGGTAAATGCCCGCTCCTACATTCCACCTGACCCCACAGAGAAGGTCCACCAGCGCTGGCGGGACGATGAGCTTTTTGGCCACCAGTTCCTCAACGGCGCCAACCCCATGCTGTTGAGACGCTCCACGTCTCTGCCCTCCCGGCTCGTGCTGCCCCCCGGGCTGGAGGCACTGGGGGCCCAGCTGGATAGAGAGCTCCAGGTACTTCCTCCCACCCTGCGTGGTTCCCCTTGGCTGTGTGGGGAGGGACCAAAGATGAGTCAGGGGAAGGGAGGCTGTGGTCACCCACCATGCCTGGCTGCAGAGTCCCATGCTGGAAAAACCTACGGATGACAAAGCGCGTAGGGGAAACTATGAGGAGCTCCCAGGATGGAGGGCAACGGGAGGAGTTCCCAGCGCCCAGGTGGGGCCGGCGACATCAGCAGGGACAGACATTTGCTGGCTGCTGTCGTACTCCCGACACCAGCATCCTGGGCAGGGCGAAAGGTGAAGGAGGCACCGTCGGGGGTGGAGAGCGGGGAGGTCTCCTAGGTTCGGGAGAGAGAAGCCAGGTATGAGCATACGCAGGTGTGTGCTGGACCTGGTGGCAGCGGCAGTGAGGGGCCCTGTGGGGGTTACTCGGCAGGACAGGAGAGGTTTGGACAGGCAGTGAAAGAGTTCAGTTTGCTGGGGGTGGGGGGGAGCAGACACAGGAAGCAGACCACGGAGGGATGACGGCGAGGACAGCTTCCGGGACCTACACCCCAGACGGGACTCTACACAGGCCCGGTTCTGAGCCCAGACCGGCTCCTGCACACGCTGTGCGGTTTGCTCACATCTGTAAAATGAGAGGCACTGGACCAAATGCTCCAGTCCCACCAAGAGGACACTGGTACCGACACACGGGATGAGGACAAACGTGTCCCCTCTGCCCTGGCCCTGGAGGCGTGCTTTCAACTCTAACCATGGGCGCATCCCTCCTCTCCCCAGAACGGTTCCCTGTTTGAGGCCGACTTCATCCTGCTGGATGGAATTCCCGCCAACGTGATCCGAGGTGAGAAGCAGTACCTGGCCGCCCCCCTCGTCCTGCTGAGGATGGCACCCAATGGGAAGCTGCTGCCCGTGGTCATCCAGGTGAGGCGCCCTGGGCACCCCCCCGCCCCACACCGCTCTGTTCGCCCCAACCTCTGCTCCCAGGGATCCAGCCCCCAGCTTCTTGGCTCCCAAACTCCATCATCATACAGTGAGACCTGTCTCCTGTCACTCTGTTTGCTTGCAGTCTGCTTTCCCCTGACTCACCCAACTGGAAGTTCTTGTTCTGCTCAAGAGTCATAATGGCCTTTTGGAGTCTCACCCTGTACCCACTGGTTCTCAAACTTTAGAGGGCTTCGCAATCACCGAAGGGCTCGTTAGCATATGTGGCTGGGTCCCACCGCCAGACTTTCTGATTCAGTAGGTCTGGGGTGGGGACTGAGCGTGTGCATTTCTAGCAAGCCCCAAAGCGATGCTGCTGCTGGCTTGGGAACACATTTGGAGAAACACTCTAACCCCCCTGGAGCCTCGGACTCCAAACACCCACCATCTGATGAATACCTTTTTGCCCATAGCTCTCAGCGGTTACAAGTACTGTCCCCTGTCTCACCCATCCAGCTTCCCTCTCCCACTGCCCACCCTTGCTTGGACCCCGTCCTGTTTCTCCCAGCCACCTGCAGCACCTCCTCCCTAGAGTCTCTGCTTTGACGCTCCTGCCTTCGGCCCCTCCATCAGGGCGCTGGCGAGAGGCAGGGTGGAAGAAGGCCTCAGTTCTCCTCCTGGATTATAACCTCCCGGGGAGCAACAATCTTCCTCACCCATCCGCTGCCCCCCGCGCCCCCCGAATGCTAAGCAGAAGGTCACACGTAAAGCAGAAGTTCAGTAATGGCTTGATTTCATGTTTGCAGATCCAGCCTCCCAGCCCCAGCACCCCCACCCCCCCGCTGTTCCTGCCCTCAGATCCCCCACTCGCCTGGCTCCTGGCAAAGGCCTGGGTCCGAAATGCCGACTTCCAACTGCACCAGCTCCAGTATCATCTGCTGAACACTCACCTGGTGGCCGAGGTCATTGCTGTGGCCACCATGAGGCGCCTCCCGGGGCTGCACCCTGTCTTCAAGGTACATGCTCTACCCTCTGTGTCCCCGTTCAGACCCCAGGGAGAGAGGAAAGAGTCCAAGAGCAAACCATATGGCAACAGCAAAAAGTGTTTCTATCAGTTTGTGAAAGCAAGAGAGGGAATCGAGAGGGAAGACTATCTACCCCTGAAACTTGTATCTTCATTCAGTTGAGTCATTTAGCGTTCCTTCAGGACATCTTCCTGAAGGAGCCCTCTGAAATCCTCAGAGAGCCGCCGACCTGGCAAACGGCGTGGAGTCCAGTGGGAATGTTGTTAGTGAAACAACAGCCTTGTTCCTGCCTTAGGAGCTTCTCTACGTAGCCAGGAGGGCAAGTGATACCCCTCAGAAACATCCAGAGACCCTGGAGCTAGAAATCACAATACAAACACCATAGAACTGATGGAGAATGTTCTACCCCAACCGAGGAGTTTGCCAAGTAGGAACAGATCAAAAGGCAAGGGGAACAACCCAGCAGGCTACTTAGACCTGCCTGGGAGACAGGTGGAGAAAGACATGCATTGGCAAGGTGGCGATTTGGATGAAAAGGAAAAAGAAATCAAAGACTTGTGGCGGGGGGGGAACGACAGCAGCTGCAGCATGCCCAGTATCAGACCAGAGAAAGAAAGGCCAGAGGTCCACGGGGTGGGGGTGTTGTAATGACCTAGAAATACTGAAATTTGATTAAAGAGTGAGTTGAGTATCCATTGCTAGGCAGAAGGCAGCAAAATAAGACTTGTAGTTGCGTACAAATGTTCTCAACGTCTTGACGACACTTCAGGTAGAGGGACGAGGCAGAGAAGGGACAAACCCGGGGTAACTGTCAGAAACAGCACACTCGGGAGGAGAGCCAGTCCGGAAGCAAAGACAAGGGCTTCCGTCTCAGGTGCAAGGAGTTGAAATGTTGGCAACATATGCACGTGAGTTTCTGCTGGGGGGTTTCAGCTGGAGGCTTCCCGACGCGCCCCCCGCCCCCAGCCTGGCCACTAGGATCTGTGGCTTCTCTGAGTCGAGGACAACACAGACCAGATGGAGACCAGTGTGTGCCACAGAATCGTGGATTCTGTGGCTCTCGGGGCGCTCCTGCGTCACCATCTTTTGCTCTTTGGGAATAGGTTGGGCTTCTATTCATGCTCACGATCCCCCGTCATCAGGTCAGCCCTGTCCCCACTGTCGACTTGGTCCCATGGTGGACGGCTGGGCTGTTAGCAGTGCTATGGAGATCAAAGGCTGCTCATGTCACAAAGGCTCCGAGTGCAGGCAGGCTCTGGATTCGGATGCTGGGGAGCGAATCCGGAATCCTGACCTCCTCCCAGATGCACGCTCAGTGCCCTCATCTCTAAATGGGGACAACGGGAGCTCCACGGTGGGGTCGTGAAAGGATAGAACAACAAAGCATGACAGCATGACACCAGCTAAATAGAGGGACCTAACCGCCCAGCTGGGGGTTCCACAACTAAGGACCCAGCGTGGCCTCCATAACTACCCCCTCCGACCTCCTCCACCCCAGCTCCTGATCCCGCACATCCGCTACACCATGGAAATCAACACCCGGGCCAGATCCCAGCTCATCTCAGAAGGAGGAATATTTGATAAGGTGAGGTGGTAATAAGGGCGCTGGGGGGCGGGACTGCTCATCACCCAGCTCTCTGGTGACCTCCTGCCACTTTCAGGATCCCAGAGCGACCTGGGGGAACGTCCTGGCCCTTAAGCCCATGAGCCTGTCCCTTCCCACCCATGTCTGGAAATATGCAACCCCACCCTCTGAGCCCCTTACGCTCCGCTCCGTCCTGTCCCTCACGGCCTCTCATCTCTGTCGTGGCAGGCGGTGAGCACCGGCGGAGGGGGCCACGTGCAGTTGCTGCGTCGGGCCATGGCTCAGCTGACCTACCACTCCCTCTGTCCTCCTGACAACCTGGCTGACCGAGGCCTGCTGGGAATCCCAAGTGCCCTCTACGCCCATGATGCTTTACGGCTCTGGGGGATCACTGCCCGGTGCGTGAGGGTGACAGCTGACGAAGGGAGCCTCGCCGGGGCAGGGGAGATCGGGGCTCCAGCCTGAGGTCAGCATGGGGCCAGACCCCACATGGAACCAAGAAGGGCCAGACAGGAGGAGCAGGAGCTCAACCCTGGGGCGACAAGGGAGAGTCAGGAAGCACTGGGAAGGGTCTGAGGATGGGCAGACTGAAATCGGAGGTGCGGGTAGGTAAAGCTGTGGGTGGGCAAACCACGGTGTCTGGGGGGGTCAGGGAGCTTGTCAGGAAGAATGCCTTTCAGCCATGGGTCCGGAATTCCTTAAAACGAATTCTTAAACGGTTTCCTTCCTTTCTAAACTAGTGTTTAGAAAGAGCTAGGGAATGTCCCCAGAGACCAGTCTCGTAAGATCTGTCCCCAGACGCAGTGGGAGTCAGCCGGGCAGAGGCTGCAGGAGAGGAGCAGAGGTTCTTCTCTCAGGAAACTCACCACCCCCCTCTGGGCAGGTACGTGGAGGGCATCGTCCACCTCTTCTACCACAGGGATGACATCGTGAGGGGGGACCCGGAGCTGCAGGCCTGGTGTCGGGAGATCACTGAGGTGGGGCTGTGCCAGGCCCAGGACCGAGGTAGGATCCCTGCCCGAGGACGGGAGCCCCTGGGACACTCTGCCCAGAGCCCCTTCTCGGTCCCGCCCCTCTAGGTTTAGGACCCCAGCCCCTCATCACACCCCCCTTTTCAGCCACACAGGAAGCATCTGAATCCCATTCCCACCTCCTAAGACTCAAGGCAATTCTAGATACCGGGGGGTTGCCCTCCTCAGAGACCCTGGCCATCATCCTCCACTGTCATCCCCGAGCCCCAGGCACAGATGGCCCTCATCTGCCACGGCACGGAGCCCAATAAGACCAGAACCACAGCCAGGGAGGGATCTGCCCAGGCCCTGCTGGGGCTCCTCTCCTCCTCATGGTTGTCTGTTTTCTCGCATGAGGATAGAGATACATGGGAAGAGCTTCCTGCAAAGCCCATCATGTCCCACGCTGCACTCCCTCCCCGCCCCTCCTGCCCACTCCTGTCCAGCACACACACACTGTTCTGGGCGCACTGCACACGTCCCACACTGCCCAGTCACGTCCCGTGCAAACTCAGTACTGTACGTGCTCTCGTACCAACTGGAACCCCGTGCACGGCCCCTTGGGGCCACATTTCTGGGGCCAGTCCAGCCTCCCCTCCACTCGGCTAGGATCTAGCCACCACCTGGAGCACCCCCGCCTGCATTTTAACCTCTGGGGAAGGAACAGCCTTCCTCGAGCCCTTGCTAGGTCTGTCCTCCCCTCTCCAGCACACATGGGCCAGCAGGGATGGCTTTAGATCCTTCTAGGGGTACTGCCCCTCACACTTCACGCAGCACCTCTGCCTCCGCGGGGCAACTCCAGATGTTTACTGGGGGGAGCCACCAACGGCCAGGCCCCAGGGACGCGGCCAGCAATAAACCAACACCTGCACTCACCCTTCCGGGCCCAAACTTTGTCTTGGAGACCTCAGAACTGTCCCTTAGGTCCCCCAGGCCCCCAGAACACCCTTCTTCCTCTCCCTCCCTGCTCCTCTTCTCCCCAGCCACTCTCTACATTTGGAAAACAAAAATAAACATTCACATGTCAGCTTTAATCTCCACCAACTGCCTCTCATCCTCTCTTCCTCCACCCGCCTCGGTTCTCATCGCGCACTTTGCCTAATTTTCCCAACAGCCTTTTTAGAGGAAATGTGCTAAAATTAAAAATAGCTTGCGAGTGGCAGTCAGGAACCCGAGTTCAAGGTCAGCCTCTGCCTTTTCCTGACTATACAATCCTGACAAGTGGTTTTATCTCTCTGGGCTTTGATTTTTTTTTTTAATCTATAGAAAGGGAGTGATTATATTTGTTCCTCTTAACTGACAGGATCAGTGGCTCTGAGGCACCACCTCCACTGTAGAATCAGTGGCCCGAGATAACCTTTGTGGAAAGCCTCTCTTGGTTGTGACACCATAAATACTCGACCTCTCCCGTTCCTCACTGTATAACTCAGGCACTTACAAATCCCCTGTTCAGGAATAGGAGGAAACGTCTCTAAATTCTTAACCACTGTTTGAGACAGAAGATATTCAATCACTAAGACCTTTTCAGCCCCCAACCCTTCCATAATGACAATAATTATTATTTACCAAGCATTATGGACTAGGTGATTTCAATACATTATCTCATTTATAAGGTAGGAATCACCCACATTTTACAGGCGAAGAAATGGAAGTTCAGAGAGGTTAAGTAATCAGCCTAAGACGCCCAGATTATATTGCTTGAACCTGAATTGAAACTCAGGTCTAACGCAAATATGTTTTAATAAATAAACAAATGAACAGACACCCATCAATGCCAAAACACAGTTGATCCTCAAACAGTGCGGGGGTGGGGGGAGGAGGTGTTTAGGGGCACCAACCCTTCCCCACACCCCCCGAGCAGTCAAAAATCTGCTTATAGCTTTTGACTCCCCAAAAACTTTACTAAGAGCCTACTGTTGACCAGAAGCCTTCCCAATAACATAGTCAATTCACCCCTATCTCGTATGCCGTGTGCATTATAAACTATATTCTGACAGTAAAATGAACTAGATAAAATATGGAGAAAATTGTAAGGAAAAGAAAATACATTTATGTACCATACCATAAAAAATCCACACCTAAATGGACCCGTGCGGTGTGAACCCGACTGGTATAGACATCCAAGACATTCACCTTCATCTCTCTCCTCTCTCATGCTGGAGCCCCTAAATCCTGTTCCTCTCTGCCAGGTTTCCCCGTCTCCTTCCAGTCCCAGAAGCAACTCTGCCATTTCCTTACCATGTGTGTCTTCACATGCACCGCTCAGCACGGGGCCATCAACCAGGGCCAGGTATGACAGCCGAAAGCCCAGGTCCCTGAAGGCAAGTGTATGGACCTTGGGATTCCTAAGGGAAAGACAGGGGTTCAAAGCATAAGTATCAGGATCCTAGGGTTGCAGTTTCTTCCCCCAGCTGGACTGGTATGCCTGGGTCCCTAATGCCCCATGCACAATGCGGATGCCCCCACCCACCACGAAGGAAGATGTAACAATGACCACGGTGATGGGCTCACTACCTGATGTCCGACAGGCCTGTCTTCAAATGACCATCACATGGCATCTGGGGCGCCGCCAGCCAGACATGGTAAGAGGGGACTCTGGGAAAAGGGAAAAATTACAGTTGGAAGGGCAACATCGGAGTGAGGGGCTAGGCGCTCCAGGCTTCTGCCTCTGGACTGGAAACTGATGGATCCTTTGTCCTTTCCTAGGTGCCTCTGGGGCATCACAAAGAAAAATATTTCTCGAGCCCCAAGGCCAAGGCTGTATTAAACCAATTCCAAACGGATTTGGAAGACCTAGAAAGAGAGATTACAGCCCGGAATGAGCAACTCGACCTGCCCTATGACTACCTGAAGCCCAGCCGCATAGAGAACAGTGTCACCATCTGAGGCCCGTGGCACCCCCACCTGCAAGACTTTAGATCAGCTCCACTACTAACATTTCCATCTTGAATGTCATGGTTTCCAAAGGCTCTGCTGCTAAAGCCCTATTTTCTCCCCCAACCGAATCCCCCTACATCAGTACCCCACGCGCTCAGGGGGTGGGCAGCAAACCTTTCCTGTAAAGGGCCAGATAATAAATATTTTAGGCTTTGTAGGCTGCACGGTCTCTGTCACAACTACTTTAACTTCCCCGAGAGAGAACAAGAGCAGCCACAGACGATATATAAGTGAATGAGTGCGACCATGTTCCCGTAAAACTTTACTTATGAGCAGTGAATTAGGAACTGCACGTGTCACAAAATACTCTCCTTTTGGGTTGGTCAACGGTGTAAAAATGCAAAGAGAATCTGTGCTTTGCTAGAGGGACAGGCATAGGCTGTGCGCTGGATTTGACCGTCAGGAGCAGTATTCGCACCAGGCTACCCCGCACTAGCCTGAGGCACTGACCCTACTGGACAAACATCCAGAGAATGCTCTGAGGTGGGACGGGGAAGATTAATTGCATAAATGAACTACCTCAACTAATTCTTCTTTCCCAGGAGCTAGATTTCCTGCACCGGTGGCCAACCTGAAACTTCCTGACTCTGAGCTTTGGCAACGTTCCCACCACCCCATTCCCTTTATTCACACACCAACCCCAAAAGTAGTCGAGTAAGAATGGTGCTCCTGGGCAGAACAGAAACCTGCCATCCCAGGGTGGCTTCCTTCCCCAGGCAGTCTCAAGCAAACGAGACACCAAATTCGTGTCCCAACGCCCCTTTCTCAGCCCCTGTAGTAGTATCCTGGGGTCTACAGGTGTTTCCCTGGATCCAAGCTCTCTGTCACAACCTGTTTAAGAATGATATGCATAAAATAAATGGGGGGAAAAATGCCAAAAAGTTATGTTCATCGCTGACAGTGTCTCTTTGTGTGGTTCTGGGGTCTTGGGATTCAAATGGCCCCTCTCGATTATGCTGCGATCATTGTCCTCACCAGAACGTGTACAAGCAGCTCAGGGCAAAACTGTGTTCTTCAAACACCCTATTTCCCTAAATAATTATTACACAGCTGCCTCTCACCGGCGAAGTACACAAACTTTTTCTTTGGAGACGGTGACCTATTCATATTTTTAAAAAAATATCTTGTACCCTCCCTTATTCAAAGGACCTATGACCGGTTTCTCTGGTTTACAACAGGGAGGCAAAGTGACAACTTTGTGTACTCACTCCTCTCTCCGACACGTTTAGCAAGACCGCTCACCCTCACAACTTGTTCACACTGGGTCTGCTCCCCCCGCACTTTTCCTAGCGCCCGCATCTTTTCCCGGATTTCGGCCTCCAAAACGATTCAGCTTCCTACGTTTGGTAACAAAATGTCACTTCACGAGGTACTCCCGGTGCTAGGGGCCCGTGGCAATTTTAAAGCGTTCTGGCCACGGCTGCACGCTCGGCCTCGGGAAGGGGCTCCTCCTTTCCCGGGGTCGGAACGTCTCTGTTTCATGGCAGGCATGAGAAGACAGGAGACAGGGGCGTCCTTTCTCGCTGGAAATCTGCATGTCTCACTTACCAGGCCCCCATCACAGGCCACCACCCGAAACTAAGGTATCGGAGAGGGAAAGCGGCTAGTTCCGAGCCTCCGCACCTAAGAGCCCATCGCCAGGGTAACCAGAAGGCCGCCAGACCTCCGCCCTCCCTAGGCCCGGTTTCTGCGGGTTCCTCGTCACGTGACTTGCCCGGTCCGCTCACGTGACGTGCTGGGTCCTTCCATTCCAGCCTGGGGGGGGGACAAGAAACGGGAGCGGTTGCTCCTGCAATACCGCCCCCCAGCTACATGGGTTCTAAGGGGTTCCTGAGGGGCTGCTTCGGCCTCACCCACCGCCTGCCCCGCTGGAGATCCGGGAGGACCCGGAGGCGCCCCGCCGCCCGGCGTCTCCCCCCCCCGGCGCTATGGTTGGGGCCGGAGGCCACGCCCCCTTGGCGGCGCTCCCGGCGGTCGGTCCTCCGCCGCTCGAGCCCCCAAGTGCAGCTCGCTCGCCCGGGGCGCATCCGGGCCTTCTTCTCGCCGCCTTCCCGCTCGGTCGGCCCGCAACTAGGCGATCCCCGACCCCCTTCTTCATGGCGTCGCTTCTGTGCTGTGGGCCCAAGCTGGCCGCCTGCGGCATCGTCCTCAGCGCCTGGGGAGTGATCATGTTGGTGAGGGGACCGCCCGGCGACGGCCGGACAGGGCCCGAGGGGCCCCGGTGTTGGAGGGCTGGGAGGCTGGGAGACTGCGGGCCTTAGAAACTAGCAGCAGGTAGGCCGGAGGGGGTGGTTGATTAGCCGCTGGAGAGCGAGACAACGGAGATTGAGAAATGGGGAACTCGAGCGGGGCGGGGGAGGTGGGGAGCTGGAGCTTGGAACGGGAGCCGCGGCTGGTAAATCTGGAGACCCCTCAGGGTAAGAGGGAGAAGAGCTGGGTCCTTGAGAGATGCCTGTGCTGAGTGGAGGGCAGTGGGGAAAGCGAGCGCTTGTTCCCGAAATGGGCAGCTGGGGCCTTGTTTCCCCAGGACGACCCGCCCCACTCTAGGAAGAAAGCCTCAGAACTGCTGATTTCCCCTGACCCCTTCCTCCCTGTCCCGTGATAATGACGCCTCTGGAGAGGAGGATAATCTAGCTTGCTCACTGTTCGTGCCCTTGCACCAGCCAAGTCGTCTCTTTCACCAGCTCACGCCCTAATCCTGGTGACTGAGTCCGAATCCAGCAGCAACCACCCCAATCCCAGCTCGTTCTGGTAGCTCCCAAACCCAGACGTTGTGGCAACAGTAGGCGTGGGAGGGGCTTAGGGAGTGATCAGGTTAGGTGCCTGGGTTCAGCAAACCTATCCGTTGCCTCTTTTCAGATAATGCTTGGAATCTTTTTCAATGTCCATTCCGCTGTGCTAATCGAGGACGTTCCTTTCACCGAGAAAGATTTTGAGTAAGTAGTCAGGTGGGAGAGGCGGGGCTGGGGGCAGGTGGGAGGTGGCTGAGGCTGTCAGTTGTCGGCGGGGCGGGATGCTTGGGCCCCGGAGGCTAGAGAACTGAGTGCCAGGAGCTTTTCTCCTTAGCGCGCTCGGGAGTCAGGCCTCAGCGGCCCTCCTAAACCCACCAGTCCAGATGTGGCTTCCTAGATATTTTACCTGACTGCCCTGTGCCTCCGTCCCTCTCCCGCCAGGTGGATGCGATCCTAGAACTCACCCCACTGGGTTAGGAAAGCTTGAATAATACGTGGAAAAGCGCTTAGGATGGTGCCTGGCACACAGTGCCCAGGAAATGTTGGCCGCTATGAATGCTTCTGACACTGCTTTACCTAATCCCTACCCCCAGGAAAGACCCTCAGAAAATATATGAACTTTACGAGCGAGTCAGCTACAACTGTTTCATCGCCGCGGGCCTTTACCTCCTCCTGGGAGGCTTCTCTTTCTGCCAAGTTCGGCTCAATAAGCGCAAGGAATACATGGTGCGCTAGCGCATCGTCGCGTCTCCCCGGACCAGCCCCCTCCTCTATTTAAAGACTGTCCCCACCCGCGCACTCTCCCACTCGCGTCCCCATGCCGGCGCCCTCGGCGGGACGGAACCCCTGGTTGTCTGGCGCCCGGTCCCCGCGGAGGGAGGCTGGGGCTGGCCCGTCCCCTGTCCCTCCACAATAAAGTGAAACTGCGCCCCTGAGCCGTGTGTCTGTGCTTGGGTCCGGGGGCGGGCACCGGGGCTGGAGACCGGCCCCCACGCGGCGACTCCCGACCCACCGACGGAAGTGGAGTGAAGCCGGGCCGGAAGTGAGGCGGTGTCTTCCCCTCTCGGCTCTCGCTTCGCGGGCGCCGCCGAAGCCGCCGCGGCGGGCGAGGCGGGGAGCGGCCGGCGGGGAGCCAATCGGCTGCGGGGAGGGGCGGGACTTCCTGCGCGCGGGCCCGAGGGGCTCGGTTGCCCGGCTCCGTGGTCCCCGGCTAGGCGGCGGCGGCGGCGGCGGCGGCGGCAGCGGCGTCTCCTCCGTGGGGAGGCGCGCAGGGCCATGACGTCAGCGTCCACAAAGGTTCGGCCTCGCTCGCGGACAGCGCTCCCTGGCGGCCACGGGCGGGCGGCCCCCCACCCCGTGCCGGCGATGCAGGCTCTTCCGCCCGGGGCGGGGGGCGGGCGGGAGCCGGGCTGGGGTGGGGCTAGGGGCTCCGGGCGGGACGGCGCGGGGGTGTGCGCCGGCCCCCCGTGACGCCGCCCCGCCTCCAGGTCGGAGAGATCTTCTCGGCGGCGGGCGCCGCCTTCACGAAGCTCGGGGAGCTGACGATGCAGCTGCATCCCGTGGCCGACTCTTCCCCCGCGGGGTACGTGAGCCGGGCCGGCGCGCCGACTCGGTCACCGCCGCGGACGCTGCAGGGCAGGGACAGGTGGTAGTGTGCCCCGCGCCGGGCACCGCGCAGAGCGGCTGTGAAGAAGCGCTTGTCGCAGGAGGGCCGACTGCGGACCCGGACCCGGGCCGCCGCTCTGCCGTGCTGCGAGCCGACCGCGGGGCATATGCGGGATGACCCGAGCGCTGCACACCGCGGTCGGGGTTCTGTGTGTAAGACGCCCCGCGGGTGGGATTGCTTTCCGCGCGCTCCTTGCAGCAGCTGCTGCACGCTGCTCGGGGACAGGCTTTCTCCTAACGTGGCTGTCGGGATAGGTGTGTTTGGGGGTCCTCAGGATTCCCACAGGGCGCTAAGAGCTTTTTGCTTTTTTGTTTTTTAAGGAAGCCCTCTATTTAGGGACCCACGGAAGGGGCCCCAGGGACTGGGGGGAGGAGGCTGGTGGCTGTGGAATGCACAGCCTGTGGGCTGGCCGCACACCCCCCTCTTCCCACTTTCCTGTCCCCCTCTCCTCTCTGACAGTGCCAAGTGGACGGAGACGGAGATAGAGATGCTGAGGGCTGCGGTGAAGCGGTTTGGGGACGATCTTAATCACATCAGCTGTGTCATCAAGGAACGGACAGTGTGAGGGAGGGTGGCCGGCAGAGGAAGGGGGGGTGGGCACTCTTCCTCCACACCCACCTGCCATCTGCCTGAGAACTCCCTTCCAGCTCAGCAGGCTTTCCTACCTCGCTGCTAGTTGTGTTAAGCACCTCCTCGAAGACTAAATAAGAGTGGGTCAGAAGTTACTGAAATGCTGTGGTAACCAGGACCTTCCAAGAATTTTATTTCGGGTTGCCTGAGATGCCCAACAGTTGAATTTGGTGATGGGAGTTCCCTGGTGGTTTACACAGCTCCTTTAAGATGCTACTGTGGTGTTTCTGGGGATATTGTGACTCTGAACTAGTTGAGCGGGATCTGCTCCTAAGTCTCAGTCTACCTGTGGATCACCAGGGCTTACCTGGTAGCCTTCCACACTCACACATCTCTCTCCCAGAAGAGAATTAGGATGTGGGCCTTCCCCACTACGCAGTTCAGGGAGTCCACTCTTCACGTTCCATCTGCCCTGAGTGTGTGCAAAGCTTCGGGGAAACACAAGAACCCTACCAAAGGTTGGGGCCCTAACCGTGATGCTCATGAAGGGGCTCCCCAGTATTCCTTCAGAGTGGCCCGTTACCCCTGCCCCTCCCCTCCCTTCTTCCCTCAATCGCTCTGATGACTCCCTTCCTAACCTGCTCTCTCTTCTCTTCAGGGCCCAGATAAAGGCCACCGTGAAGCGCAAAGTATACGAAGACTCTGGCATCCCCCTTCCAGCTGAGTCGCCTAAGAAAGGACCCAAGAAGATGCCATCTGGTGTCCTGTCCCCTCCTCCAGCTGCACCTCCACCAAGCAGCTCCAGTGTCCCTGAGGCCGGGGGTCCCCCCATAAAGAAACAGAAGGCTGGTGAGGGCTGCGGAGTTGCTGCCTGGGGGTCCAAGGTCCCGTCCGAGGTTCAGGGAGAGAATCGGGGGGTGGGTCAAAGAAGGACCAATCTCTCTTCCTTTCCCTGTCAAGGTTCCCAGAGAGGGGCTGAGGTGGCAGAGGGAGGGGGAGCTGGAAGCTTTGGGAAGCTGGGGGGCAGTCGGAGAACCTAGAACCTAGCTTACGCCCCCTCCCCCCCCCAGATGTGACACTCAGTGCTCTGAACGACTCGGACGCCAACAGTGACCTGGTGGATATCGAAGGGCTGGGAGAAACTCCTCCAGCCAAGAAACTGAACTTCGACCAGGGTAGGAGTCCTCTTCCTCCCACTCCCACACCAGCTGAAGTGGTGGGGGAGGGTCTCCGCAGGAGCCCCCTCCCTTGTACGGAGACTTGGGAAGAGAAGATTGCCCGGTACACCGTGCAGGGGATCGGGTCAGCAAGGAGCCGGGTGCTTGGGGGGAGGTGGGAGTTGTCTTGGAAGCATACTTGGGGCTCGCTCCATCTCGGCCCATTTTGCTTCCTGTTCCAGACAGCCTGACCCTGGATTCTGGCCTTCTCATGACCTCTGCTGACCCTCCTCCGCTCTCTCGCTGAGCTTCCTGCCTCTGACCCCTCTCACTGATCCCCCTGGACCTGTGGATCGCCCAGGACTCCGAGCAGGCCTGCCGAAGAGAAGGTCCAGAGGCTGCTGGGTCCGCACACCTCGCCGTTCCTGTACGCGCATCTGCCCCCAAGCCCTCTGACCTCCATCTGATGGACTTTTTTATACAGAAAACAATAAAGATTGCCCTCTCCTCCCGCCTGGTGCCTGCAGTGTCACATGATGGAGCGTGGGGGGCCGCTGCCTCCCTCCTGAGCCCCAGGGGCTCAGCCCCTCGCTGCTCTCACCACCCTGCCTGGAGCAGCACGGCCAATATTGGCAGGCTCTTCCCAGCGCCAATATTTCTGTGCTGCTAGAGCCAGGGGGGCTGGGGGTGGGCAACAAAGACTCCACTCTGCTCTCCGAAGGCAGAGGCTGACTCCACTCTGCTTTCCAAAGGCAGAGCCTAACTCCCAGGACCTCTGGCAGTCAGTACTCCTGAGGCTGCCCTGGGGATTTTAGAGGGGCTATTTCCAGGGCTTCCAGGTCACCCCCCCCGCCACCCCCCACCTCACAGGAAGGCCCAGATGTTTTCTGTGTTGCTTCTCCAGGGTGGCCTCCCGGGGCCAGGCCTCAGCGGTGCCTCCCCCACCCTCGCTCTAACACCACAGTGTGGTTTGGACGTGGCCACAGAGCCGTACAAACCACAGTGTGCTGCTGGGGCGGGAGCAGGACTGGGGTGGCTTGAGAGGAAGGGAGCACAAGATGGTGCCGTGAAGACCCCCACCACCAAGAGCAGGGACCTAGGGAAGGCTTAGAAGGCAAACGTGGCCCCAAGAAGGGTTGGGGGGGCAACAGGGAACCAGGGCTAGGGGCTGGCAGGCCACTGGAGGGAGAGGGGCCTAAGGGGTGAGCTCGCTGTGGGATAAGACTGGAACCATCTTCCCTCCACAGGAACTCTACTCAGGGGATCCCTCGGGTGCGGTCAGAGGCAGAGGAAACAGGGAACAACTGTGGGGGGCCAACAGACTGCCTCCCGACTCAGCAAGGGCAGGGACCCAAGGCTTCCTGTGTCCGTCCCTCCCCTCCCTGGGTCAGAACCCAAGAGAAAGCAAGGAGAGACAGAAGGCCAAGGACAGCAGGGTTGGGAGTTGGCAGTCCAGAGGTGGTGGGGCCGGAACATGGTGGGGAGAGGGGGGCCGGAAGTTGCCCTGGGCCCTGGGCCTGCCACAAGATGGAGGCCAAAGGCAGGAAATGGAGGCCAGGGGGAAAGGGGAGCAGCAGGGCCCAGGAAGAGGGCTGTCTGGACCTGGGGGCCAGGTACTCAACCCCCAGCACTGTTCCCACTCCCCACCGCCCCCCAGGACCCATGCCCGGACCCCCCGCGATGACCCCCATCAGCCCATCCACCAGGCCCAGGAAGGCGGGCCCACCCCAGAAAGCCACGTTTAAGCTGAGACAAACATGCCTCTCCCCACCCCCACCCTAGGCCTTCCCTCAGCCTTTTCCTCCTGTCCAGGACATGATTTTTAAAAGCACCCCACAGAAAGCAAAATCCAAGGGCCAAAATCCCTTCCACAAATCAAAATAACATCCTCTGCAACCCAAAAGTTTTCCTCCTACCTCCCATTCCATCCGCTACCACCCCCCTTCCGACACACCCCCCAAAACTCTTAGCAATCAGAAAGATCTAAGATGGTGGGTGTAAGCAGTCTTTTTAGGCCCCGGGGGGATGCCAGACCCCCTCGCTCGAGACCCCTGTCTGTCCTGCACCAAATTCTGCCAAGGCCTCCTTCTTCTCACTCCAACGTCCCTAGCCCCCCAAACTGAACAGCTGCCCCCAGCTCCCATTCTCGGCAGAGCCTTTGTGGGGGTGAAACAGAAATCAAACACTTTGCTAACGGCTGGGGATGTTGGGGGCCTTCTGGTCTCAGCCTTTGGTTTCCATTTGGGGGACTGCAGTTTAGGGGCAAAAGGGAAAGCCTCTCCAATCATCCCCCCAGTCCCAAGACTGACAAAGCCCAACCCCACCCCAGCACGCACCTCCAAACCTCCCCCCCAACCGCCACGTCTCTCCTGAAAACAGGGGACACTTTCCTCCCCACTTACCTCAGCTACTCTCCCCTGAGATCCTGGTCCCCTATTTTGAAGGGAGCAAAATTTGGGGTGCATCCCTCACATTTGGGGTGCAGGAGAAAGGAGCCGCCCCAGTCGCATCGCTGGCCTCCTTCCTCTCGGCTGGCTCAGGGAGTGGGGAGTGCCCTAGGGAGGGGGGACCCCCACAAGAGAGCTCAGAAGGGGGTTCCTCCATTCCCAGTCAGAATTGGGGACACCCCCCCAAACCCGTCCCAGCCCATCCGTCTCCAACTCGGCGGGAGAGGCAGCTGCAATGCCCCAGTCAGATTCCCCCAACACTACATTCCTCACCCCATCTAGAGGGGTCCCGGGGGCCCCAAAAAATCCCAAAAAAATCTAGGATGTTGGCAGGACGGTCCTGGACTAGTACCCCAAATTTGGGGTCCTCAGATACCCCCGTTTTTTCAGGAAAATTCCGTCTTTCACCTGCCTCCCGCCAGCCCTGCTCTGTCCCGATGCCAATTTTGGAAGTCACTCCCTCCTTCCTCCTCCCCGTCTCTCCAGGCCCCCCCGTTCGGGGGCTAGGGTCCAGGAAACCTGGCTTCCAGACCAGGGGGGGCACTCCTCGAAGGGCTAGGGGCCAGGAGGTCAAGCTCACAGCCCCAGTCTTAGGGAAGCAGGAAAGCCCGATCCTCCCCTCCCCTCCCCCCTGGCTGGTCTCCGTGGTGGTTTAAGGAAAGCCTGGAGGATTGGAATCTGCCATTGCTGTTGCACAGGCAGGTTTTTTTCCTTGGGTTGGGGGGGTGGGCGGTGGGAGGGAGAGAGGGGAGGAGAGCCGAAGAGAGCAGGGACCCAGGCGTGCAGAGCTGGCCTGGCTTACCCCCTCGCCCCTGCTGCCGTGGGGAACCCCTCCCCCCACCCACCTCACCCGCATTCCCAGTGCTCTGTCTGCTTTCTGTTTGGGGCTCTTATCCTAGAAACTCAGGGTACAAGAATCACCTCCGTGTACCCCCACCACCACCTCTCCTTGCCAACATTCCAACAGCACTGCCCTAGTCAGGGGTGTTCACCTTACCACGGGACACCCCATCTTCCCCCCACCTTCCCAGAAAGTGACTTGTGCTCCCTTAAGAAGTTGGGGTTCAGAGTCTGAAACCGCCTTCCCTCCCTCAGATCTATCCAGGCCACATAGAAGTAAGAGGAGATACACTACCCACTACCTTTCCAAATTTCTCCCTTCAAGTTCTGGGTGTAAACTGGGGGTTCAGTAAAGAAAGAGATTTCTAGAATCTGGGATGGGTGAGAGGGAAGCTAGCTATAAGCAAAGGACATCCCAAACCAGCACCACGCTCCAAATTAAGTGAACCCCCAAATCAATCTCACCTTATGACCCATCCCTCAGCTCCATCAGATACACCCAAAGAGTGACAAAACACCCCAAAATAAGGACACCCCAAAACTTTAGTCTCCTACTCTGGGCCCTCACCTTGTTTCTCCCCCTGGAAAAAGCTTCATGGCTATCTATGTTTACACAGGACTATCCCCCTCAAAATAAGTTTCCACAACATTCAAATACAAAGCTTTGCTCCACTTCAATGACCCACAATCACCCAGAAGGCCTTCAGACTTGTTCCCAAGTTCCTATTATGTTCCACCTCAAGCTAATAAAAAAAAAAACTCCAGATTGAATTTCATGTCCCCCCAAACCTAACCCGCCTTGAAATGTATATGGTTTCCCAAAACAGACTGTACCCCCAAATCAGCATGACTACTCTACTTGAAATCAGATTGTCCATACACACCAATGACTCTGAATCCCCAACACAAAGCCCTCATCCACCTCCTGAAGAACGCCTAGCGGGTCGTCCTGATATTCCCAAGTGACAATCTCCAAATTATGGGTGTCAGAGTCCCCAAAACTAACGTAGCTTCAAAATCAGCTCCATGCCTAAAACTTACCATTGGCGCTCAGGCCTTCTGAATGCAGCGCCCAGTGCCCAGAACAATCCAACTAACTCAACACCCCATAACAAACACACTCTCCACAGCTGACCAGGTAACATAAAATCAACTCCATCCTGATACCAAAGGGAGTCCCTCGTGGAACTCCCACCTCCAAACTGAGCAGAGACCAGAGTAACCCTAACAGGCAAAAGCCCCATCCCGGTCCTGATTCCCTAGTGGTCTGGGATTCCCACTTTCTCAGCAGTTCTTTCCTGTGCCCAAATAAAGTCGCCCTCGGGTCAGATAAAGACACCGCAGGCCTGGATACGCAGCTCCACGGATAACGGGCAGTCACTCCTGGCCACCTGTGACTCTCTTGAACCCAAGTCCTGCTTTGCAGCTAGACTCAGCTCTGCACCCCCCTCTCCAAATAAACATCGCCTCCCCCAACGTCTCCCCCAAACAAAATATGAGGGTGTGACCCGTGCCTATCTCCCAGATCAGGGACCCCAATTTAGGGTTACCGGTTTCCGACGCCTCCTGCCCTCTCTCCCTTCTTTTATCCCGAGACCCCTCCCTGTTTTCCCTTCTTTCTGTCCACCCCACCCAACTTTCAGAATAATGTTCACTAAAAATTCACCTCTACCGACAGATAATAGTGTCTAGCTTAATTAGAAAAGAGAACCCTGAGCTCCCAGGCCTCAGACCCCACACCTTTTCCCACCAGTTCCCTTGCTCCCAGAGCCCGCGGATCTCTCACCCCAGATTAGGAACCCCAGCCTCGGAGGAAAGTCCCCTCTGTCGCCTAACTCTCCCTCCCTCCGCCCAACCTTAGTCCTCCCCCCCGCCCCCAGGAGACAGAGGGACAAAATCAACCAGCGCAAAGGGGAGGAGGACGAAGGTTTCAGCCGCTCAGACCGAATCCATCCTGCGCCCCGGTCCGAGTGGACCCCAGCCGGGTGGAGACTGCGAGGCGAGGCTAGTGCTCGTCCGCCCCCTCGTGGAAGGAGTCAAACATTGCCGGGTTTTGCCTACTTGCCGCGCTGGACCCCGGCGTCCCGCCAGCCTCCAAGCGTAGCCGACGGGCGGGTGCCCGAGGACCTAGTGAGCTGGGATTGGGGGAGGGCGAGCGGGCTTTGGGCGGGAGTCTGTCTCTTTGGATCCCTAAAAGGATTCAGAAGAGAGTCGGGAGCGAGAGTCCGGACGCCCAGGTCTCCGGAGCGCCTCTCGGCCCCCACCCGGGGCTTTCCCCACCTCCTCGAGGGGAAGCAGCTGGCGGAGCCGTCCGGTCGCAGGACAATGGAAGGAAACGAACTAGAAATCATATCCGTCCCCTCCCCGCCCCGCCCGATCAGAGCCCCCCCTTTTGTAGGCCCTGCTAGAGGAGCCTGTCATTCACACCGCGCCCTCCCGCTGCTGAGACCCCACGCGCGTCCACCGTGGCCTCCCCAAACCTGGTGCCTCGCTGGGCTCCCCTCTATCTCCCTTGCTATCGGACGTTGGAAGAGGGAGTTTTGCTGTATCCACTCTCCAGTTAACAGGCACCCCCCCTTCCAAAAAGCCAACACACTGATTTTCGCTGCCCCAGGCCCCTCGACGACCCGGGTCACCCATATTTCCAATCTCGATATCCCCAACCTCCTCCCCAATTCCAGTGTCCCATCCCCGATTCCACTTCCAGTGGCCCAAGACCCCTTATGTTACGACCACCCCAGGGTTTCTGAGGTCCCGCCCTCGAGCCGGAGACCCCGCCCCGGGCTCGCCATCTGGAGAGCGCGGGAGGAAGGAAGGATACAGACCCAGGCGTTCACCCCACCTCCACCCCCGCCCCCGCCATCCCGGCCAGATAAAGGAGCCGAGTCCAAGAGGGGAGAGAGACCCCGCCCCCCTGAGAAGAGAAGCCGCAGCCCCTGCAGGACGGGGGTAAGAACGACAGACCGAGGGAGCCAGACTCCTGGGTCCCCGAAAAGGGTTGCCGATGGTAGGAAGACTGAGGCCCACTGCTTGGGCTAAACTAGGAGTGCGGGATTAGACAGTAGTGGAATTCCGTGGTTCGGAAAGGGAGCCTGGGTTGGGATTTGGAGGGGTGTGGACCGCAGGCCGTCTGGGGTGCCCGGGCAGGTCGGACACCCGAGATTCAGGCGCGCGGTGAAGCCGAGGGGAGCGGGGTACTGCACCCGCACGAGAGGTCGAACCGAGGGCGCTGCGGGCCGGATCCCCCACGCTGGCCGTCGACGCCGCGGCGTGGGGGCATCCACCTCGCGCAAGCACTGTGGAGTCTAGGGGGCAAGCGAGCGCCGATGAGCTGGGGGCGGAAAGAACTAGATGGATCACGCGAGGCTGCGCGAGCCGGGCGGGGGGCTCGGCCCTGGCTGCACGTCAGCAGAAGGGGCGAACTGCGGAGGGAAGGCGTCTGAGCACCGCCTGGGTCCCTGAGCCCTTTCCTGGGCACCGGCAGGCCTGGGTCGCGATGGGTTCCACCGCCACCCCCGAAGGCGCGCTGGGCTACGTCCGCGAGTTCACTCGCCACTCCTCCGACGTGCTCGGCAACCTGAATGAGCTGCGCCTGCGCGGGATCCTCACTGACGTCACGCTGCTGGTTGGCGGGCAACCTCTTCGAGCACACAAGGCGGTTCTTATCGCCTGCAGGTTCGGGGAGTGACTCAGGGGGGTGGGGCGGGACCAAATGGGAAACGGGTGGTGTCATAAGGTCTTTGGGAGGGGATCCGAAGCCAAGCCTTCCAGAAGCAGGAGGCTGAGCGTGGAGCGTCGGGGAATTGAGGGGATAATGGGGAGGAGGTGGGGCTTTCTACACTGTGGCGTGTCTCCGTGGGCTCCCCAGGTCCTAATGTAGCCTCTCTGCCCTCTCTCCAGTGGCTTCTTCTATTCAATTTTCCGAGGCCGCGCAGGCGTGGGGGTGGACGTGCTCTCCCTGCCCGGGGGCCCCGAAGCGGGGGGCTTCGCTCCTCTCCTGGATTTCATGTACACTTCACGCCTACGCCTCTCTCCCGCCACTGCACCGGCTGTCCTCGCAGCCGCCACATACTTGCAGATGGAACACGTGGTCCAGGCATGCCACCGCTTCATCCAGGCCAGGTGAGGGAGCCCCAGCTCGGTGTCCTCCGTTGGGTGAGGCGGCATCCCAGGTGTCAATGGTGGAGGCCAAGATTAGGAAAGAGCACTAACATCCCTCCCACTTTTCCCAGCTACGAACCTCTGGGCATCTCCCTACGGCCTTTGGAGGCAGAACCCCCCACGCCCCCAACGGCCCCCCCACCAGGCAGCCCCAGGCGCTCCGAAGGGCATCCAGACCCACCTACCGAGTCTCGCAGCTGCAGTCAAGGCCCCCCCAGCCCAGGCAGCCCAGACCCCAAGGCCTGCAACTGGAAAAAGTACAAGTTCATCGTGCTAAACTCTCAGGCCTCCCAAGCAGGGAGCCTGGCCGGGGAGAGGAGTTCTGGTCAACTTTGTCCCCAAGCCAGGCTCCCCAGCGGAGATGAGGCTTCCAGCAGCGGCGGCAGCAGCAGTGAAGAAGGACCCATTCCTGGTCCCCAGAACAGGTACAGACCCTGGACCCTCAAGAATTTGCAGAGGCCAGCCTCAGCTAGGAGGCAGAGCCATGGCACCTGGGTGGTCAGGAGCAGGGAGTGAGGGGGTGGGACTTTGGCAGCACAATTGGATATGGCTCATTGGTCAGTATTGGTCAGTATTGGCTCACCACCAGAGGGTAGGCGAGAACCCCTCCATAAAATCTCTCCTAATCCTTTTCTCTGGGCTTGCCACCTGCCTAGGCTCTCTCCACCTGCTGTCACGGGACAGTTCAAATGTGGGGCTCCAGTCAATACCCCCCATCTCCTCACAGCCCTGGCTCAAGAGACCACTGGATCACACTCTGGGCGGGCTTGCCCAGCACCAGGTAAGAGCCCTTCCTTCTACCTCCTCCCTTGATTTTCTCCTCCGGCTGCTCAAGGCCAGTTTGGACCAAAAGGAAAGGTCTGCCCCAATTACTGCAAATTGGAATCACCTAGGGAGCTTTTAAAACTCCCATTGCCCAGGTCACACCCCATAGATCAGAAAGTCTGGAAGTGGGAGCCAGGAATCAGTATTTTTTTAAAGCTTCCAATGAGCAGCAAAGTTTGGGAACTTCTGGCCTGTTCCCATCAGGGCTGAGTGGTGGGCCCAGGGCTGGGCAGGGCCTCTCCGGCAAGCTGTCGAGCCGAGCAGTGGTCCAAGAGAGGAGAGAGAAACAGAAACTTCACCCAGTAATTGGGGCCTCCACCTACCACCACCACTATTGAAGAGATTAAGAGAGTATTCTGAAGTCAGACAGACATGAAGTCAGATCTTGGCTTGTCCTCTTACTAACCATGTGACCTTGAGTAAGTCAAATGAGCTCCAGAAGCCTTAACAGTAAATTGGGGGAAAAGAAAACCCGCTACTAGTGCGGTTTGAGGATTCACTGGAATTGTCATTACCCACCCCCCTCCCAGGAAGTGAATTTTTCAGCTGCCAGAACTGTGAGGCCGTGGCTGGGTGCTCGTCGGGGCTGGACCCCTTGGCTCCTGGGGATGAGGACAAGCCCTACAAATGTCAGCTCTGCCGGTCTGCCTTCCGCTACAAAGGCAACCTGGCCAGTCACCGCACGGTGCACACAGGTAAGCGGGGAGAGGGCCGTGGCCTTCGTGCCGGCGGGCGTCCTAGGACGAAGTCCCTGACCTCCCGGCCTCCCTGCCTCCAGGGGAGAAGCCCTACCACTGTTCCATCTGCGGAGCCCGCTTTAACCGGCCGGCCAACCTGAAAACGCACAGCCGCATCCATTCGGGAGAGAAGCCCTACAAGTGTGAGACGTGCGGCTCGCGCTTCGTGCAGGTACCGAGCGCGTCTCCCAGCCGGCTCCAAGGCAAATTTGCCGGAGGGCGGGGCGGGCCGTCGGGGAGGGTTCGGTGCCTCCTAGACGCGCGCTCTGAGGTCCCCCTGGCCTCTCCCAGGTAGCGCATCTGCGCGCGCACGTGCTGATCCACACCGGGGAGAAGCCCTATCCTTGCCCCACCTGCGGCACTCGCTTCCGCCACCTACAGACTCTCAAGAGCCACGTTCGCATCCACACCGGGGAGAAGCCGTACCACGTGAGGACCCGACCCGGCCTGGCGTTTACCTAGGGGCGGGGCTCGGAGAGGAGCGGGCCGGGCGGGCCCCGGAGCTCTCCGAAGTGGGCGGAGCCCTGGGAGATAAGGGGCGGGGCCGGGGGCCGGGAAGCGCGCGCGCACCGTCCTCCGGAGGAGGAGCTAGGGATGGAAGAGGGCGGGGCCTAGCTCCGCGACCTCCGCCGAGCATCGGGGGAGACGCGGGGACCCGAGAGCTTCTCTTACGCGGAGAGCCGGGGGTGGCTGTGGAGGGGCGGGAGCTGACCCGCTGTCCTCCCACAGTGCGACCCCTGCGGCCTGCATTTCCGGCACAAGAGTCAACTACGCCTGCATCTGCGCCAGAAGCACGGAGCTGCTACCAACACCAAAGTGCACTACCACATTTTGGGGGGGCCCTAGCTGGGCGCCGCGCCCAGATCCCACTCGCTTCCCGGAAGCCGGGACAGCTGCGGGCTCACGCCTGGCTTCCCTGTCGGGCTTGGGCATGGGGGGCGTGCCAGGCTCCTCCGGTGTCAGCAACTGCCACCACCTTAAATTCTCACTGGGGAGAGCAGGGGTGGCAGATCTCCGCTTGATCTGCCTCTGTTTTGCTGGTCAAAACCTCTTCCCCACAATCCAAATTGTTTCTGAGGAGACAGCCAGCTGGGAGCTGCGCGGGGGGGGGGGACTGGAGGGAATGGCCCTCCACCTGCAGCTCCCCTCTCATTTGGTTTCTCTGTAAATATAATTTATTGAGGCCTGTGGGTAGCACCAGGGCCTTCATTCTACCGCATTTCCCACGTGCACAAGTGTGATCAAACGTGGCCTGAAGCACAGTGTGTGGGGTCAGCTCTGCGGGCAGAGATGAGCACTTAGCTGTCTCCTTCGGCTTGACTGTTTTATGTTTATTCTTGTCATAACTTTCATCTTTAGAGTTGTCGTTTCTCCTATCTGTTTGCTTGTCCATTCGTTGAAAGTGGAGAAAGGGTCTCTCTGTGTCCTGTCCCTCCCAGTCCTAGGTCTGGAACCTTATTTGTTCTAGGGCAGCTCTGGGGACATGTGGGGTTGTGGATTTGGCGTCAGGAACCCTCTTTGGTATTCTGGATATTGTAGGTTCTCTAGCGGGCTAGAACTGCATATGGACTCTGCTCTGGTTCCAAGACTTAAAGGACCTTTTTTTTTTTTTTTTGGGTGAGCCGGAAATGGAAGTAAGAAGTGCTTCCTGGGAGCCATGGATGTGGGGGCTTTGGCAGTCTTGGAACTTGAGGGATGATTGGAGAGGCTTTCTCTTATGGCCCTCACTGGCCCATGGGTCTGGTCACCTAGGTTGGGCTCCACTGTGTTGATCTGTCATGAGTTGGGCTTTAGTTGAGCCCAGAATCCTCCCACTGGGGCCTGTTCTCAGCACTGGGTTGATCCCTTCCTTATCAGAGATGACGCAACCTTTTCTGATTCTGCCCAGACTCTATGAATGCTATGACCTGTGGGAGAGTTTAATAACTCTCTCTTAATAATAAGCGATAAAGAGTCATGACCGGTCCTTAACTGTAGAGGTGTCTGGGTTCCAGTGTTCCTCGGGGTTCTCTTTACCTGAGACAAGCCCCTTCTTCCTTTAGCGGGTTTTCGGACATCTTCTGGCAAGTGTCCAGATTCCAGAAACTTCTTTGCCTCTAGAAGTCACAGGTGCTTGGTAACTTTCTTACCTTAGAAAAGCTAGGTCTGTGACCTGGGCTTCCTGTCACTGCATTCCTGTCTGGAACCGGTGAATGCACTAGAACCTTCCACAGGGAGAGAAAAGGGGCTGAGTTCCATTCTGGATTTGCTGTAGTTTGGGATTATGATTGGGATTACTGTTGGGATTAGGGATTTAGAAGATTTAAAAGAGTAATTGACTGATGGTCCTTCTAGTTGACCAAGTATCTGGGTAGAATTAAGAGGTTGGTTGAGGGGCACAGTCCCTGTTGTAGGCCGAGGAGGTAGAAAGTTGGGAATGGGGTTGCCTCTTAACTAGATGGGATGTCTGGAATGTGAGATGATACTCTGAAGCCTTGACTTACAGTCCTTCGCCTGCTGCCTTGGGAGCTGTTTGATTGTGGGGTATGGGTGGAGGGTGAGGAGCACTTTGAATTTGTGGGGTGGGGCTTCCTCAAGATGGGTCAGGACTAATTGCTGCCGCTTGAGGACAGGTGAGAAAGCAACTTTTATCATTCCCTCTTCCTCCCCACTGCAGAACTGAAGTAGGGAGAGAAAGCAGAAGAGATATGAGAAGGAACCATGATTTTTTTTTTTTTTTTTTTTGTCAGTTAGATGGGCAGGTGAAGGGCGCCTAGGGGTGGAAATGTTAGATCTTGCAAGATCAGAATCTTGGAATAAAGAAGCCTCTCTGTGCTGCCTGCTGTGTCCAGGGTTCTTGCTGGGAGGATCTGGGAACAGGGTGAACCGGGGGGGGGGGGGAGAAGAATGAGGGTTCGTTCCTCCCAGATTCTATCTTGTATTCTGTGCCCATTCGACCGCCCCATCCCACCAGACACTTTAAATGGCGCTTGTTCTCCCCTTCCCTGCCCTTGCCTTCCTGCTCATTGTGTAGGAACCCGTGACTTCATGAAGTTTGTCCGGAGCCACCTGCATCCTGCTGCTCTGAAGTCACTTCCTGCCCGAGCGGAGGCAGCAGGGAGAAACCAGGAGACCACTAATAATACCAAGAGGCTGGGGGATGCATCTGTGCTGGGGATCTTAATGCTTGGGACACCCCCTACCACCACCACCACTACCACCACCAAGGAAAATGGATAGGACTTGGGTCCCCTGAGGATAGTAGAGCGTGCAGGTGGCAGTGAGAAGGTGAATCAGCATGTGGTTAGAGCCAACAGGGCAACTCCACCCCTCCCCCGGCAATGGTGCCTTAGAATCTATCCAGTGCCCAGGGCATGCTTCTCTCCCACCCTTTCCCTGTCCTGTGTGTGTCCTGGGTGTGCAGCTCTGTTCTGCCGTGGGCAGAGGGTCACAATTCTGTTCAGTTACCTCCCTTTTGGACTTAAATTCCTCATTTGTGAAATAAGGCCATTAACGTGGCCTGCAGTTCCTGCCTACATTTACAGTTTGTGGTTGTGTTTCTCCATCTTAAAACTTATGACCTAGATTAGAAATATTTCTAAGTAAAACATGAAACAAAGAACTTAAACTAAAACTTCCCTCCCCTCCCACCGCTACAGCTTATGCCCTGCCGAAAATGAGACCAGCTAACACTACTTATCCCTGGGCACCTGTCAGGTCCTAAACTAAGCATTCTTTTTTTTTTTTTTTTTAAGATTTTATTTATTTATTTGACAGAGAGAGACACGGTAAGAGAGGGAACACAAGCAGGCGGAGTGGGAGAGGGAGAAGCAGGCTTCCTACGGAGCAGGGAGCCCGATGTGGGGCTCGACACCAGGCCCCTGGGATCACGACCTGAGCCAAAGGCAGACGCTTAACGACTGAGCCACCCAGGCACGCTTAAACAGCATTCTTGTGCACAGCGCTTCTAATTCGATTCCCCTGACAACTCTCAAAAGTAGGTATTATTATCCCCAATTCACAGTTAGGAAAACCAACTGAGAGGTTCAATGTCTTAGTGATCCTATATACAGCCACATCAATTGCCACATCTTGGCATATTTCCCATCAGCCAAAGTTTTGATTCCACTTAACAAAATGAAGTTTGGGGGGTATGATTATTTTTATTTCCCACATATAAAATTATAGGGCTCAATATGCTTTTTTAAAATTACACAGCCCCGGGGCGCCTGGGTGGCTCAGCTTGTTAAGCCTTGGACTCTTCATTTCAGCTCAGGTCATGATCTCAGGGTCTTGAGATCAAGACCCGTGTGGGACTCCACACTCAGCAAGAAGCCTGCTTAAGATTCTATCTGCCCCCCAACCCCCCCCACACCCGACCTGGCGCTCATAGGTGCACTATCTCTCTAAACAAACAAATAACAGCTTCCTTCCTGCCCCACCCCCTACTTGTCACTTGTCTGGGTATGAGCCCTTGAGCCCAAGTTGCAAGGTCAGGGTCCTGGGGAGCAAGAATTTTAATGAAGAAACAGAAAGCCAAGCCATTAGTGTTATATAAGGTGGAGAGACTGGATACTGGTTGGAAAGGAGGGGCTGACCGCTGGGTGATAAGAGCTCGGCTCTTTCGTCAACCCCATCAGGAGATCAAAACCTGCTATTAGGAAATAGTAAAACCAGAGGGTGGAGGAAAAGGATTGAGCCCCACCGAGGAAGGGAGGGTAGATGGTGCTGGGGAGGCCCTGAGTGCGCTCACGGCCGCCCTTCCTCTCCCGAGTTATTTTTGGTCTCTGTGACTTGTAGATTTCCTGTTAGTGAGGACAGAAGCGACAGGAACTGAGTCGCCACTGCAGACACGGACGCCAGCAGTCCAACAGTCCGTTCCCCTGGTCTCTTCCTCGGCCCCTGAGCCCCTCCGGGATCCAGGCATCTGGATTCTAGTGTACTCAGGCTCTAGGGCAGGTTATTTCCCTTTGAGTCTCGGCGCAGAACCCCTACGCTCACCACGACCTGACCTTGCCACTGGGCCCCTCATTCAGCAAGCGGGGGTCTTCCTCTCCCGAACCGGTTTACCACCACCCACCCCCAGGAGCTCCCTACGTGAGGGTCTTGGTGCGGGAATCTGGACTGACTGGCCGGTTAGGTGGACGGGAGACGCAACAGTCTCCGGGTAGGTCCCTACGTCACGTGGGGCCCATCGAGTCGGCCTCCTGCGGTCCCCTCCTGACGCATGCGCCCCACTCACTGTCCGGGTCCAGAACCGAGCTCTAAGCCCCGCGCTGCCCTCCTGGCTCCACCCCCGGCTCAGGAGTCCCGCTTCCCCACCCGCGAGCCGTGGACAGGGATGACGGCCAGGATGGGCAGGTAGCTGACACTTGCCGTGATAAGACGGATAACCACACCGAGACTGGCGCGCCGCAGGGCGGGGGCCCAAACCCAGGGCCGCCTCTGGGCTCGAGGCTAAACGTCGGGGCCCCGCCCTGACCCGTCCCGCCCAGGCCTTGACCCGCTGCGGGCTGCCCGCGGAGCCACGCCCCCGGGAACGCCTCGCGCGGAGGCCGCCCGCTCTCCCCACCTAGGTCGCCGGGCGGGGGACAGGCGCCCCACGCAGCGTCCCTGCCTCCCGGCCTCGTCGGTGCGTGCCCCTGCAACGGCAGTCTGCCCTCCGCCGCGCGGCGGGGCGGCTCGGTGGGCGGAGGCGGAGGGTTCCGCGCCCTGCTCCCGCCGGCGCTGCGCGGAGTGGCTGCAGCCCTGTGCGCTGGCCGATGGCGCAGAGGGCCGAGCCCCCCGACGGGGGCTGGGGGTGGATGGTGGTGCTCTCCGCGTTCTTCCAGTCGGCGCTGGTGTTCGGGGTGCTCCGCTCCTTCGGCGTCTTCTTCGTGGAACTGGTGGCGGCGTTTGAAGAGCAGGCGGCGCGGGTCTCCTGGATCGCCTCCATAGGGATCGCGGTGCAGCAGTTTGGGAGTGAGTGCCGCGCCTGGGTCCGGCGGCCCGCCACCCTCCCTCGGAAGGGAAGGGGCATGCGGGGACGCTGGGGAGGAAAGGGCGGGGCTGGGGAGGATACTGGCCAAAGGCGCCGGAGAATCTCTCGCACGACTGCCTTCCTCTTTCTCAGGTCCCGTGGGCAGCGCCCTGAGCACGAAGTACGGGCCCAGGCCCGTGGTGATGGCCGGGGGCATCTTGGCTGCGTCGGGGATGCTGCTCGCCTCCCTTGCTACCTCCTTGACCCACCTGTACCTTAGTATTGGGCTGCTCTCAGGTGAGGCCCTGGACAAGGGTGGGGAGACTTTCACCTTCTTCCTGCCCTTTCCGGGAGGCTTAAGGAGGAGCCCACGGAAAGTTTTGGCTAGCACCTGTGCCCAGGAGGGAAGGAAGTCGTAAGAGCGATGACTAAAGTGATCAACGTGGTGCAGGGATATTGAGAAATTCAAAGATGTGGAGGCCAGAACGTGCAAGCCCAGGGCTGGTGGGGCTGGAGTGTCGAAGCAAGAATTACCATGAAGTTGTGCCAGGCACCACGGCTTCGAAATAGATACCATCATCCGGTTTACAGACAGATGAAGAAAGGCTCTCGAAGCTTATTTAACTTGGCAGAGGGAGATCGCAGGGCCAGAAGTGGTACAGCCCGGGCCTAACTTCCAAAGTTCGGATCTAGTTACCGTACACACAGTATTTCTAAGCCTCTGCAGTCCCATCAGGTCTATTACCCTCGTCTTGCAGATGAGGAGACCGAGGCTGGGAGAGGAGATAAAATACACAGGGTCATACAGCTCGAAACAAGACCTGTGCTACGTTCTATGGCTGGGCAGTGGTGGGATTACCAGGTGTCCTGGGCGCCCTAAGAGTCCCCCAACCCCTATTTCTTCCTTTTTGACAGGCTCTGGCTGGGCCTTGACCTTCACTCCGACCATGGCTTGCCTGTCCCGTTACTTCTCTCGACGGCGATCCCTGGCCACAGGGCTGGCACTGACCGGGGTGGGCCTCTCTTCCTTCGCCTTTGCCCCACTTTTTCAATGGTTGGTCAGCCGCTATGCCTGGCGGGGGGCCCTGCTGCTGGTGTCTGCCCTCTCCCTCCACCTGGTAGCCTGCGGCGCTCTCCTCCGTCCACTGTCCCTGAGGGAGGACCCTGTCATGGGCGGCCCTGGGACCCAGCTCACCTCCCTCCTGCATCATGGCCCCTTCCTCCGTTACACTGCTGCCCTCACGCTGATCAACACTGGCTACTTCATTCCCTACGTGCACCTGATGGCCCACCTCCAGGACGTGGATTGGGACCCACTGTCTGCTGCCTTCCTACTCTCGGTCGTGGCTATTTCTGACCTCGTGGGACGTGTGGCTTCTGGGTGGCTAGCAGATGCTGTCCCAGGACCTGTGGCACGACTCCTGATGCTCTGGACTACCCTGACTGGGGTGTCACTGGCCCTGTTCCCCATGGCTCGCGCTCCCACGGCCCTGATGGCTCTGGCCGTGGCCTATGGCTTCACATCAGGGGCCCTGACCCCGGTGGCCTTCTCCATGTTGCCTGAACTGGTGGGGACTGGAAGGATATACTGTGGCCTGGGCCTAGTACAGATGGTCGAGAGCATCGGGGGGCTGCTGGGGGCTCCTCTGTCAGGTAAGGGGGATTGGGTTTCCTGGGGAGGGTCACAGCTGCCATGTCATGCAATTTGGGGAGGGGACTAATAATTACGTTATAGTGTACGTGAATATTGCCCTCTGGAATGGCACAGAACACAGCCTGCATGGCCAATCATAGCAGACCCGAAGTGGGTCCGTGGGGCAAGGAAATGGGGGCTGTGGAAAGACTCCGAGGAGTTATGAGGACCCCTTAGCAGGGTATCTACAGGTTGGGTGTGCAGAGGACCTGGCTGGACTCAGCCAGATGTAGCCTGCAGGTGTCTGGCCTTTGCCTTGGCCTACTGGGCCCCAGCCCAGGTGTCTGAGCTGTCAGGTCAAAGTTCTCCACGGCCCAGATACCAAAACCTTCACACCCTTAACTTTCTCCTCTTAACTATTAACTGAAAGTGTAGACGGAGGGCCACGGTTGAAATTACCCTCTGCAAATTACCTGTGGAAACCTTGGGGGCGCCAGAGTTCTTGAGCTTATCCAATCCTGCCTAGTGGGTTCGAACTCTTCCGAGATGATGAGCTAAGGATTACATTCTTCCCTTCATCAGGCTAAGGAACTGGGTCACCCACATGTGTTCTTCTTCTCTTTTGGACTTAGGCTACTTCCGGGATGTGACAGGCAACTACACAGTTTCTTTCGTAGTGGCTGGGGCCTTCCTTCTTGCAGGGAGTGGCATCCTCATCACTCTGCCTCACTTCTGCTCCTCGGCCTCCACCTCCACCTCCAAGCCCCGGGACCTTGTCACAGAGGCAGTGGATACCAAAGTCTCTCTGACCAAGGAAGGGCTGGGAGAGGACTGAACTGCAAAAAGGGGCTGTCAGGCCCAGAGAGCTAGAGCTTGGCAGCTCCAGATCTTCTCCTCCTGGCCCATCCTGGTTCGCACAGAACCACAGTGCCTTAAGCATCTTGAACTGCCTCCCCCCAGGGCAGGCCTGGGGTGGGGGGGCGGATCCTGTGCTGCGTGCGCCAACCCCTGGTATTTTGTGGAGGACTCTTATCTCTTCTTTGCTCCCACAACCTTTTCCAAAGGATCCAGCCTGCTCCCCTGAGCTGTGAGTCAGCTGTGAAAACCAAAGGCCAAGAGACTTAATGTGTTTTACATGTGATCTCTAGTGTTGCCTACCAACTTCCTTCTCTGCAGGCAGATGTTGGGGAAAGGGGGATGCCCTTTTGAGATAAAACTGAATAAGGAAACTAGATAATCGTCAGAATCTCCAAAAGAGCTGGGGCCCGTATGCTTGGGTTGGCTGAATGGGCTCGTGGCTAGGAAGCGGAGGGGAGGTACCCACTTTAACCATGGACTCTGCTGTCCGGACCGCGGTCCTCTGTCTGGCCCACTATCCCCTGTGACTTAGAAGACAGTAGTGGCGACACAGGGTGGGGGTGTCTCGGGAAGGGGAGCTAAAGCTAAAGGTGAGAGCTGAAGTCTGGTCCAGCATTTCCCTCAGGCCAGTGGAAGGAGCCTGAAATGCAGGGAAGAGTTAGCTGGGGCCGGGGTGGGGGGGTGTCTGGGGGGGGCCGATGGCCCCCTCCTGAGCCCCCACCCCCAACACACTGAAGCTGACAGGCAGGCAACTTCTCAGAGTTCACCTGTTTTGTTTTTATTGTGTTTTGAGAGAGAGAAAAGGAGAGTGACGGTGGAAGAGGGGCAGAGGGAGAGGGAGAGCGTGCGAGAATCTTAACCAGGCTCCATGCCCAGGGGGACCCTGAGATCCTGACCTGAGCCAGCATCAAGAGTCAGAGGCTTAACTGATGGAGCCACCCAGGCGCCCCCTTGAATATCTTACGGAGAAAGAATGTTTTCAGCCTCCTAGATTGGCTAACAGTTGGAGCTTGCCGGAAACTGGATAGAAATTCTTTACTGGGGGAGTGGCTCAAACTAATGGTCAACAAGCAGTGTCCAGAGTGGGTTGAGGGCCTCCAGGGGAAAGCAGGGCAACCTGAGGAGCGGGGAGCAGCTCCCCCCTCTCGGGGGGAGGGGTGGCTGGCTGGGAGGCTGGACGGCAGGAGGGCAGCGCCCCTGGCAGCCCCATGTAGATGAAGCTGCCAGAGAGGATGAAAGAGCCGCAGGTGAGGAAGGAGGCCGTGAAATCTCCCGTCTCGTCCCTTAGGAAGCCTGTGAGGAAGGGGAAAGGAATTTAGGGCCCTGGGATCCAGGGGTAGAGGATGGTTGCGCGCGGATGTGTTCGCTCAGGCCCTTACCTGAGAGGGGAGGGCCCAGAAGCCCCCCAAGGCTCATCAGCATCATCACCAGCCCGGTGGCCTGGACGACGCCTCCTACGCCCACTAGCCCCGGGAGCACACCGAAAACCAAGGGCGCGTAACTTCCGGCGCTGAGCCCGTAGGCCCCAGCCGCCGCCAGCAGGGGCCCCCCGCAGCCCTCCCGGCTCCCCACCAAGGGCACCAGTCCCACGGCCAGCAGCCCCAGGCCGGTCAGAGCCCCGAACACCGCCAGCAGCCGCGAGAGGGGCACCCAGCCCTGGTCCGCCAGCCACCCGCTGATCAGCCGCGCGCCCGCATCCCCCACCGCAGCCACCGCCACCACCAGCGCTGCCCCATACCCGCCCAGGCCCCTGTCTAAAGCGTGAGGGGCCAAGTGCACGTAGGGGACGAAGTACCCGCCCCCCACCAGGGCTGTGCCCAGAGCAAAAACTAAGAAGGCCCGGCGCGCGAAGAGATCCAGGCCGAGGGCAGCTAAGGGCCCGCGGGGTGGGGCCGGGGCGTCGCCAGGGAGCACCAGGGGTCGCAGCAGGGCGCCACAGGGGGCGAGGTGGAGGGTAATGGCGCCGAGGAGGAGCAGGGCGCCCCGCCAGCCGAAAGTATCAAGGAGGAGCTGCAGGGTGGGCGCCAGGAGCAGCGAGGAGGCCCCGTTGCCCGTGAGGGCCAGCCCCACCGCCAAGACTCGACGGCGGGAGAAGTAACGGGACAGGGTCCCAAGGGCCGGGGCGAACACCAGGGCCCAGCCAGAGCCTGCGGACGGACAGGACCGGGTGAGGACAGGGACCTGAGATGCCCGCCCCAGAGATCCCAGCCCTGCTCCTCGCAGGAGGCCCCGCCCCTTGGGCCTCCAGCCCCCGAGAAGCGCCCCTCGCCAACATCACCCCTTAAGGACCCGGGTATCCCTCTCCCCTCACCAGCAAGGACGCCCAGGCCAAGGTAGAGGTGCAGCAGACTGCGGGCGAATGCCGAGAAGACGAAGCCCAGCGAGGTGAGGACGCCCCCAACCATCACCACTGGGCGCGCCCCCCAGCGGGTGCTCAGGGCGCTGCCCACTGGGCCTGGAAGGGGGCGGAGTCAACGGAAGACACGCCTCTGCACCCCCAAACTTGATCCAACACTTCTCCTTGGCGGCTTGCCAGGCCTAAAACTTCTCCCCCAGCCTAATAGCTCCTCCCCTTGACCTCAAGACCCTCTCTTTTCTAGGACTCGGTCCCACCGGGCGCCCTTTTCCAGGTTGTCTGATCCTCAGGTGGGTCCTCCATCACTACACACACACTCCGCCAATCCACCCCGGTTCCCGCCTCCCACCTTGGGGGCCCCCCCTCACTGGCTGCCTGCTGCACCGCCAGGGCCAGGGCGCTGACCCACGCAGTGTCCTGAGTGCTTCGGTCAAAGTGCTCCGCGAGGTCAGGCAGGGCAAGGCCCAAGGAGCGTAACAGCCCGTAGGAGAGCCCATTCACCGCGAAGGCTGCGGCCGCCACCACCCAGCCCCAGCCCCCGTCTGGGGGTCCGGGCGGCTTGGGGGTCATCGCCGTCTGGGGAAGGGGGAACACACCACGTCCGTGCCTCCTCGAGGGTCCTGGGCCTCCCCGAGATCCAGGTTCTGGCTGCTGGCCCAGGGTGGTCACGTCACCCGGAGCACGGCAGGGCGGGGCGGAGGGAGTGGGAGCTAGGCCTGGGGATACATCCCCAGGGCCCGCGCGAGCTCCCGGGACCGGGTGACAGCCGGATCCCCCGGGCCTGGGACTCCCCCTCCCACACACCCCCCTTCCCCCTTACCCGACCTCTCCGGGCGGTGCGGGGAGGGGAAGGGCGAGGAGCAGCTCGGCCAGGTGTTCTCCCCGCTTCCTGCGCGGGCGGGGCCCCAGAGGGGAGCGAGCGCCGAGTTGGAGCCCCACCTGGACCGGCTCTCTAGGTAAACAGAAATCACCACTGGGGGCCTGAGCCACCTGGGACGCGGGGGTGCGGAGGGCTGGGGGGGGGGAGCTGACACCGTCAGCCAATCGGCCGAGCCGCGGGTGAGGCCAGACGCTGAGTCCCACGGGGATTGAATTATCCACACACCCTCCCCCCAGCCCCCGCGGAGGGAGCGGAGAGAATGAAGGCGGCCCCGCCCGGCTCAAGCCCACGCACCTGCAGCCCGCGGCTCTCGGAGGAGACGCGTGGATTGCGATCCCCAGCAAACCCAGGGCCCCTAGGCAACACTTGGAAATAGGAGTGATCCCCCAAGGCCTGCCGCGATGAGTACTTTTGTTCTCTGGGAACTTTGCTGGGGGACCAGGCAATTCTCGTACATCAAATCACTGACCTCCACTGAGTGGTTGTTCCTTGCTCAATAATAGCAGGCCCTCAAGAGCGGAGCGGAGAAAGAGGACTCCCTCGTTAGGAGCAGCTGTGATGTGCCAGGCACTCGACCCATGCCACCTGCCCACAAGAAACCGCTGAAGAAGGTGTCATGCCCCCTTTTTTTTTTTTACAGATGAAGTCACTGGAGAGTAGAGAGGTTAGGCGCCTTGTCCCCAAAGCACCCAGCTTAAAGATGGTGGAAATGTTTGAATTTGGATCTGTCCAGCTGCAGAAGGTACAGGGAGAACAGACCTAGGACTGATACAGACTATGCCCCAGTGGGGGGACTGGCCGGGGTACAGTTTGATCCTTACTGGCCCCCAAGGATCCCTGGGATCAGAATCGCCAAAGACTTAGATCCGGAGTTTTAAAACAAGGTAAGAAATCCGAGAATTGAACCAAGGCACTGATTTCTTGGAAAATTTTATTTAAAAGGATCCTTTCCACATTAGTACCATTGCTTCACTTGAGCTATTTGAATCAAGAGATGTGTTCTTTGGTTTAACGATTACACAATATCAGAAAATTTGGCCATGTACAGCTTGGAGCCGGTGTCAAACCAGAGCCACACGGTGGCAGTGTTTCCTAGTCGTTGAGAAAATATCTACAAATCCGAGGAAAACAACCCCATTTCTCTACTTTGGATATCAGGCCTTTCACCAGGGAAGGAACCCTCCCTCCCCATTCCATCTCCCTCCCCTCTGTCCTGCGCCCTTCCGTGGGCGTCAGCCAAAAGCGCCTCAGCTGCTCCAAGGACGTGCCTAGCTTTTTCTTACTCCTGAATTTGTGCATCTGCTGTCCCCTCTCCTTGAAATGTCCTGGATGGGGAACAGGCGTCCTTGAAGGGGGACAGTCCTGCCACGGACACCCTAGTAAAGTGGTCTCACTGGTTTCCCCACCCTGGGCTGCTGTTGTGGGAGACAGCTGGCAGGTGAAGCCCAGCAGATCCTCAGCCACGGGGGTAGAACAGGAAGCCTACTTCGGGAATTGGCTGCTGAGGACTCAGGCAAGCAGAGCCCTGCCCCCCAACCTGAAACAAATCACACCCTCTCCACGGTGGAGTAACACGCCTCATGCAGACAAAGAGGAGACTGGGCCCCCTGGGTCTGGGAATTGGACAAAGCGATGCTGAGCACCTTTAGAGGATACTTATGAACCCAGAGTCTTCTGTCCCAGGCTCTGGGACCGGGGTGATTGGTCATCAAAGGGCACGGTCCTCTTCTACATCATGTTC